TTGATACTCATTCTAAAACTCCAGGCAGAAAATATATGAATTTTTTTTATATATCCATTACCTCGGCAAAGGGCTACTGAGACTTCAGAGAGCACGAGTAGGGCAACCACAGAAAACAGCAATATGGTGGATGGGATAAAGAGACCAAGCAGATGTTGGCCAGTGATCAAAGAATGGATTATGGTACATCAAAGAATCAGATTCTATTTGACATTGATATCCAAGAGATTTATATGTGAAGTTAGCAGAAGTCCTTCACAGAGGGGTTTCTATTGAAGGGTTAAAATATATTAATATTCTATAGAAAGAAATGATTAAATATAGGCAAGTATATTGGGTTATCTTTTTACGTGTTTTCCATATTTTTAAATTATATTAGTAAAACTAAACACTTTTCACTAAAATGCATTTGACATGTTTTAAGGTATGGGAAGAGGAAAAGAATGAGAGAGAATAGTAGAAGGGGTGACATTACCAAGATGCTCTATGTCGAATTGTAATCTATTTGTACAACTACTAATTTTTTTTAAAAGAAAACAAAAGGCAACTCAAGCCAGGCACTGGTAACTATATATAGTTACTTAGGCGGCTGAGATATGAAGATCATAGTTTAAACCCAGTGCAAGTAGAAAAAAGTCTGTGAGACTCTTACCTCCAATTAACTAGAAAAAGCTGGAATTGGAGTTATGGCTCAAGTGATAAAAGCACTAGCTTTCAGCTAAAAGCTAAAGGACAGTGCTCAAGCCCTGATTTCAAGCCCCCACTGTCAGAAAAACCAAAAAGAAAAAAGAAAAGGAAAAGAAATAAAAACTCACACAGCAAACAAGCTTCCAAAATTCATTCTAAAAAAATAATAGCGTTATCACCTTAAGCATCTTGGGATGGTGTAAAAAAAAAAAAGACTGATTATCTACTAATACAAACTTTAGTTCTCTAAATAACAATACTGTGTTAAAATAACGCTGCTGAAAATAAAATTTTAAAAAGCTGCTCTAGCCACGGGCTGGTGGCTTATGCTTGTAATCCTCGCTACTCAAGACGCTGAGATCTGAGGATCGCAGTTCAAAGCAGCCTGGGCAGGAAAGTCTGTGAGACTTATCTCCAACCACCAGAAAACAGGAAGTGGCACCATGGCTCTAGAGGTAGAGAGCTAGCCTTGAGCTGAAGAACTGAGGGATAGTGCCCATGCCCAGAGTTCAAGCCCCATGACTGACCAGTATATTAAAAAAAAAAAAAAAGAAAAAGAAAAAAAAGAGTTGCTCTATTTTCATTCAAAGATTTTAGTCAAATTTGTGTTCAACATAAAAAAAGAAGTACATGCCTGAACATACATTGACTTCTTTATATATTTACTGTGAGCTATTTGTTTTAGTGCAAGTCCAGGACTTAACCTTCGTACCTGTGCGCCATCCCTTAGCTTTTCATTCAAGGCTAGTGCTCTACCACTTGAACCACAGCTCTACTTCCAGCTTTTTGTTGGTTAATTGGAGATAAGACTCTCATGGACTTTTCTGCCAGGGCTGATTTTGAACTGAGATCCTCATCTCAGCCTCTTGAATAACTATGATTATGGGCATGAGCCTGCGCCTGGCTTACTTACCATGTTTTTATAATTAAATCTTCTTACAACATAAAGAGAACACAAAGTATGAAAGAAAATAAAGACTAACCATGCTTTCCCCTGGAAATATCCACATATTGGCATAATCTGGGATGGGTGATGGTCTTGAGAATTTGAAATCGTCCTAAAATTTTAATGGAGTTTGGCGTGAGAGGAAGTCCATTGCTTCCACAGACATCATGTGGCAGAGCTGAAGCAAAGAAGGTAAAGGCGCCCATTTCTGCATCCTTCAAGGGAAACATCTCTGGGGTCCAAATCTGTCACAATGATCTAGAAACAAAGGGAATTTTATGAAAATTCACACATTAAGCCAGTGCTTTCTCATCTTAATAACATGGGGGAAAATACTAATCTAAACATTGTACAATAAAAAAAAAACAAAGTTGAAAAATTCTAAATTTTAAGATTTTTTTTCTAAACAAAAGGCTAGTATAATCCAAAAATTTGGAAGTTAACTAAAAATAGAAAGCTGTAGCCCAGCATGTGCATCTTCTACTTACTATTAAGTAGAAGATCAACTTGAGCTATTTAGTGAGACGGTAAAAAAATACATAATCAAACATAACTTTGCATTTCAGCTCTAAATTAAAGAATTTTCAATAGCATAAAAAGAAAAACTCAGAACATTTCAACTTCAATGACAACTGAATGTTAACAGAAGAAAAAGTGTGTAACTGCATTTTTCTATCAATAAAACTCTGTCCCTAAAGCTGAAAGATTTCAGGAAACTACTATAAAGCAAAATGCATATGGAATAGACTGTTACAAGAAACATACATCTCTAATAGTAAAAACACAACAAAACAAAATAAAAAACCACCAGACTGAAAACATTGTGTCTGCTATGGATGCTAGCTCAAAGAATCCTCTCAAATCATGTCTGAAATTTGTAGTACCCCAGTAAAGTTCTGGCTGTCCATTCCAACATCCTAAAACAAGCGTACCAGCCAACAAGGCACTATTATCATAGGAATCTCCCAAATAGCCCTTCTTAACTTTTTTTTTTGTATGTGTCTTTGTGTGTGAAGGTCTTGGGCTTGAACTCAGAGCCTGGGTGCTGTCCCTGAGCTTTTTTACTCAAGGCTAGTGCTCTATCACTTAAGCCACAATTCCATTTCCAGATTTTTGGCACTTAATTTGACATAAGAGTCTCATGGACTTCTCTGCCTCAACTGGCTTCGAACTGGGGATCCGCAGATCTCAGCATCTTAAGTAGTTAGTGTAAGACACCTATCTCTCCTTTACTCTTAAGTAATGAATCACCTGAGATCAACTGATAGTTGAGACTACAATGTAAAATGAAAAAATAAGAATAAAGAATTAATTTTTGGAGGAAACAAAAAATACATTTTAGAGAGGCTTAAGAAAATACTGCATTTATTATATAAAGCATAAACTTAGGGGAAAACCATATTTCACTAAAGAGGAATGATTAATAGATATATGAAAAGATAACCAACTCATTGTAATCAAGGGATTTTTCATTAAAACCACATGAGAATTTATACTCAGAGTAAAAATTAAGACATCTGGTAACACATGTTGGGAAGAATGTAGAAAAAAAGAGGACTTCCTATTTATAAATAGGAGTGTAAATTGGTACAATCACTTCAGAAACAAGTTTAACACTATATTTTGTTCCATTCTCAGCACTGTTTTTGTCATTTGCAAAGGGTCTTTAGTAGGAAAAGTACTTTCAAATTCATTAACACAGATGAATGTAGTTCTTCTGTAAGCCCTCCTCCCACTGCCCAGAGCCATTATGTTCCTCATTTTCAAAAGCTGCTGAGGTCAGGTGTAATGATGCATACCTGTAATGCCAGCCAGCACTCAGGAGATAGAGGCAGGAGCACTGAGAGTTCAGGGGAAGCTTTGAAGTACTTATAGCCTGTCTCAAAAGAAAAGAAAAAGACAAAAGAAAAGGTTAGCATTGTAACATCACTCATCAAATGGACTTAACATTTGACAAGGTTACAAGTTACTTCTAAAGAACAGACCTGTGTGCAGGAAAAAGTGAGCCAGAGAACTGCTGCATTTTAGTATTTGCTTTTACTATGAGCTAACTAGATTGTCAGATAGATGCCTTTCCTTTAGACAATCAAATAACCAAACAAAATGAAACGGTTTCAAAATACAAAACACTAGTAAGGAGAAATATTTCCTTAGTTTTGTTTCAACTTTATCATTACAAATAAACAAACATGTCCACAGGTGTCATGTCAAATGGAAGTGGGTGCACATACAAACAAGACACATACACTAACACATGGTGGTATGACTGTAACCCCAGCTCTGTGGTGCAGATATAGGAGGACGGTGGTCTGAGGCAGACCAGCGGGACAAAAGATTAAGGCAAAAAAGCTGGAGAAATACACATACTTGTACTTACACACTTGATGTGTGTAAAGAAAAGGGATGAGAGATTGGGGGAGGGGAGGCGGAACAACAGTGTAAACAGTTCCTGGGTCTGAAAATCCATTTAACACACATTATACAATATCCATCTTACGTCAGGTGTTGCCCGCTCAGTGCCAAAGTCAGTGAACAAGATACTCTGGGGAGATGAGGGAAGGCCACGGGATTAGAGGCGTGCCAGACAGCGGACAGTTCTAAATCTACTGTCTCCCCACCGCCTCACTTTTCCCAGCTGCTCACGACGGTGTTCCACTGTACAACTAAAGAAACCAAAAAGATCAAAGCAAAGGCGGAGGCAGTGAAAGCAAACACGCCTTTCTTTGAGGCAGGGACTCGGGTGCAGGTGTGAGAAGCACAGTGAGGGCCGTAGGGTGGCCAGGGCTGCAGACAACCCCAGTAAGCAGAACCTGCGGAGCCCCTCCAAGCAGCCGAAGCCCCCTCGCCTACCCCACACTCCCGGACACCGAAAGCACGCGCCCCCGAGTCCGGAGGGAGTCTCCTCTCCGCAGACGCTGAGGCCCGGCGCGCTCCCAGGAGCCAGGCCGCCTCGGCTCAGAGCACCAAGCTTTGCATTTCCATAAGGACGCTCTGGGAACGCCGGGAGGTCAGCTGAGCCAACCCAGGGCGCGGCCCACCCAGGGCGTCACAACCTCCCCGGAAGCGCGAGCGCCGCACACGCTCCACGGCCGGCGCCCAACTTCCCACCACACCGCCCTCCGACAAGCGGGACGCTCGCTCCTGACGTCACACGCTCGCGACGCCACACTAAAGAAAGACCCAAGACTTCGGTCTCCTCTGCCTCTTGCCCAACCCGGGCGGCAAAATACCACAGAGGCGGCAGGGAGGAGCTGGCGTTATTGAGTGAGGGAAAGGAAGACTGAAAGAGGGGTGGATTTACATGGTAGGACTGTGCACCGGGAAGGACCGCCCTAATACAGGGTTGAAGGTGTGGGGGCGCTCAGGCACGTAGCGCGGACAGCCCTGGGGGCCTTTCTCACTGCTGCCACCCTTTGCGGGACCGAATTCCCTGCCGGCTGGTGGACGAGGCTGGTCCTGGCTTCTCGGTGGGTGTGAGGGATATCGCCGAGGGTCTGTGGTGGGCTGGTGGTTAATCGAAGACGTCTCCCTTCCTCCATGCTTTTCCAGATTTAAGAGGACTGGGGGGCTGTGGGGGGCCGGTGCACCCACCTTGACGTACGACGCTCGGCGTTTTCCTGAGGAACTTGTCGAGAAGTGCACACAGGGCCGAGGGGACGAAACCTCGGGATGCGTAGCTTCGCGAGCGCGCTGACTTGGAAGTGAATGCGGAGGAAGGGTGAAACTCCTGGATTGAGCGAGTAATTACTGTGGCGCTGTATTCCAGGCACTGTGTCAGGCATTGAGTCAAGAGCAGGGAACGAAACCCACTGACAAAACAGACTTAAAAAAAAAAATCCTGTCCCTGATTCTCTGGCCAAGTTTGATTCAGCTCAATGCTGAAGTGATCCAAAGTGATCATGTGTAAGGTAAACAGAAATCACACCTGGTGTGGCTAATGGTGGTGAGTCGTCGCAGCTCTTGATCAGCTACAGCAGAAAGTGTTTTCCCCTCAGAATGCTTTTTTATTTTGTACTGTACCGTCAACTTCCTTCTTCCACAGTGTTAATTTATCGCGTTGGTTTTATTAATTTAGGATTTTCTCGCGTTTTGTGGCGACAATGGCAAGTAATGATGCTGTTTTGAAGAGACTGGAGCAGAAAGGTGCAGAGGCAGATAAAATCATAGAATATCTTAAGCAGCAAGTCTCTCTTCTTAAGGAGAAAGCAAGTAAGAAAATTTATAAATCTCTAAGCAGATGCTTGATGAATTATGTCGCATGAGGGGTACAAAGGAAGGAAATTGGGTGAAATCAGTCTTGAATCAAATTTTGGCTCTAACCTTTTGTAGAATATACTTTCATATTACTAACTGCTGAAGTTAGTTTATGCAGAAATTTCTACTACTACGTACAAATTTCTACTACAACGTACCAAATTTCTATTTTCAGGACTTAATTTGGTTTGGGATTGGTTTGGTCAAATACACATTTTAAAAAAAAATCTTAATAACTAGTGTTAAGTATCATGATAAAGTTCAGAAATTTTTGCAGCTCCTAATTGAAATAAATTTTTTTTACCACATAATGTTAAGAATGGCTTGCAGAACACTATTTTACTTATTTCATTTTTTTCCTCAGATTTTTCTTATTTTTCTTAAATATTTACACCATCATGGTAGAGTGATGGAGAGAGTCAACTGCTTCTGTGTAACAGGGTACTTGTTATAGCAGAGTGTTTTTCATAAGGGTGTATTCCCTCACATCTTGCCTAGCATTTCCATTTTGCTTATTAAAAAGAATAGAAGGGCCAGGTTCTGGTGGCTCATGCCTGTAATCCTAGCTATTCAGAGGCTAAGATCTGAGGCTCAAGCTACAAAGCCAGTCTGGGCAGGAAAGTCCATAAAATTCATCTCCAATTAACCAGCAAAAAAGCCAGAAGTGGAGCTGTAGCTCAAGTGGTGGAGCACTAGTCTTGAGCACAAAAGCTAAGGGATTGTACCCATGCCCTGAGTGCAAGCCTTGGACTAGCAAAAAAATTAAAAAATGAATAAAAGAACCATTCTACATTTTTCACTTTTATTATTATTCTCATTGCCAAATTGGCACTAAATATTTATATAATTTCTTATCCTATAAAGCAAATATTTCTCACCTAAAATAACTGACTTTATAGTAACCTCTAAACATATTAACCTTTTGTATACCAGAAGAGAGATGAAAAGAAAGTAATTTTTAAATAATTGTAATAATCTGTGTCAGTGTAAGTTGTCACTACTATACTATCATAGGTGGTATATGAAGGTCCTATGCTGTATGGTTCACATACCCTGAATCATCAAGAATACTAGCTAACACTAGTATGTATTTTGCCTTTGTTTAAGCATCTCAGATATTGGAAATTTTGTGATATATTTCACTTCTTGAGAAAGATGAATGTTAGCTAGGTATGTGGCTCAGAGGTAGAGTCTTTGTGTGTATCATTTGTGAGGCTCCAAGTTGATCCTCAAAACTAGGATAAAATAGATAAATGATTTCTTACCAAAACCTCTGAATAAAAGTACAATTCTAATTCCTGGAAATTGCAGGACATAATGAAACTGAGTTAAAATACTTTCTGTTTACATGTAAAGAATAGCTAGAATCTAGGTTAAATGCTGGAAAGTTCTGTGGGATATGAGACAGATCACTGTTTTGCAGGACTAATCACCACTTTGTCAGTCATCTGGCATCCACAGATCATACCCTGTTTTCATTGGGCTTAGTATTGCTCCCTATGTGGGATTTTAAAAATAAATGAAAGTGCACATATGTGTGTGTGTGTGTACACACACATATATATAGACATGTACATATATAGATGAGATAGTATATATATACATATATATCTTTTTTAAATTTTATTTTATTTTTTTGGTTGTCACAGATAATGGGCCTCTACTACTTGGACCATGCTTTCAGCCCCTTTTGCTTTAGTTGTATTTTGAATAAGGTTTCACTTTTTTCTTCAAGCTGGCAAGGCCTGTGGTCTTCCTTTCACACATCCTACATGGCCCTGTATAACAAACCTGTACCAGAGCTTATTGGTTTGGTTGGGGCCTTGTTAACTTTACTTTTGCTTGAGCTGTCTTCAAACCTTGACCCTCCAGATTTCCACTTTCCCAAGTAGCTGTGTTTCTAGGACTGAGCCACCATCCCTGGCTTATATCATTCTGTATTCTAATTAGAGCATTCACAGAGTTTTAGTACTTTTTAGAGTAGAAGTGGTTTGTGGAACCAGTCCCCAAAGGCTATCAAGGGATAACTGTATCAGGTTGTTTTAAGTATTAAGTTGAAAAAATAACTAGCTGCTATTGTATATCAGTCATGTTCTTTTCAAATAGTATTCAAAAGAACTTTGAAAATAAATACACATTTTAACTGGATTTCTTCTGTCTCAGTTTTGCAGGCAACTTTGAGAGAAGAGAAAAAACTTCGAGTAGAAAATGAGAAATTAAAGAAAGAAATTGAAGAATTAAAACAAGAGCTAATTCAAGCAGAAATTCAAAATGGAGGTGATTAAATATAGAAATGATAGATTGTTTTCATTTATAATATTATGTCACTTATTTAAGCATATGTTTATTTTCCCCTCACAGCTTTCCACTGAGCATTCCTCCTCCTTTACAGAAGAGAAAAAGGAGACTTAGAAAGTGTCAATTATCTTACCCAAAGCCATGTAAAAAGTGGTAAAGCTGGGGCTCAAAAACCCATACTTTTAGTTTTTGTACTGCAATGTAATCATCACTGCACTTTCTATTGAATATTTAGCAAAAAATAGCCATAGTAGTATTTATTAACATAACGAAGAGCCTTGTGTGCTAAGCTGTGTATTGTCTTCTTCTTAAAAATATTTAAGTATAAACCCTATTTTATCCATGAAGAAAATGAAGCTTAGAGGTGGAAAGTTATTTGCCTGAAATCATAAGTTTTCTTAGTTATTCAGTCATCAGATAGTTATCATTTCGATTATTATTGTTAATACAATTTAAAATTTTGTTGAACTAATTTTAAGTTTCTTGATAATTTTATGGAGCAGTATTTCTGTTACTAATTTCAGGTACTCATTTAGACATTTGTTTATGTTTGGTTCCTTTTTACCATTAATTCAGTAGCCAGTAATTTTGCCTGAATTTTGACTAAGTAGTTTGATTAACTTTTACTTAGTCAAATTATTTTGAATTTTGTACAGACTCTGCCCTTAGAAACTAGTATATTAATTTCTCTAAATAAAAGTAAGGGCAAAAGATCAATGATTTAAGCTAGAGAAAATACTTTAGTCAATGGAAAATTTCAGACTGGTACATCCTTTCAAAGTCTAGTTGGTTTGTATTACAGGTAAGAAATTAAGTAAACAGTTAAAATATTAGTAGTGGGAAACCTGGAATTCTTTTCTCTCAAGGTAAGAAAAATTACGAGAAGCTACACCAGAATTCCTCATGCGATTTTTCAATTTTCACTGTATTCCTTTTAACACTTCAAAACATTGAGAAAGGTTTTGCCTTTTTACAAAGTTAATTTTGACAGAGTTGGAGATAAATAATGCTATCTATCACTGTTTGTGATTGGGTAATTTCTTAACTTTTGAATGGCTCAGATTTATCAGCTGAAAAATGGCAACATGAATAGAAAGTTTATCTGAGGCTACTTAGAATTACACGAGTCAATTTACATAAAGCATTTTTGGAAGTGTTTGGGATATAATAAGTCCATGATCAACCTTAGCTGTTGTTAATAACCATAATTTTCCTATTATAGCAAATAATAATTGGAAATCATGCCTTCGTCTTTTTTATATCTATATAATAGTTAAAATATACCTAGTTTCTTAGCAGTTGTTCTATAAGCCCAGATAATAGATAATTACATGTATTGATTTTTCTTTATTTCTTTTTTCTTCTTTATCTCTTTTATTTTCTTCCATCAGGCTCATGGCATGACTTAAATTGTAGAACACCAGTTAGGAAAGCATGAGGTCTAAAGATGAATCACAAGTTCTAGAATTTTTATTTTAAAATGAAAAACTCAAAAAGAGTTATTAACATTTAGAATTCACCAAGCCATGTTTGTTTTACCTTGCCTGTAGGTTTAATTTAAGTGACATTTTCTGTTTTACTTTCTTATTAGTGAAGCAAATACCACTCCTGTCTAGTACTCTGCTGCAAGGTAATTCTCCAGCTTCTGAAAATATGGTACAGTCTACAACAGTAGCTATCTCTTCTGGTCCCAAAGAACAGATAAAAGGAGAGGGAGGAGAAGAGAAGAAGGTGAAGGAGAAAGCTGATAAGAAAGGTATTTTTAATCATTAGACTCATTTGACTCTTGACTATCTTATTAGATGCTAACATTTTTGATGATAATTATGTTATCAAAAGGAAAGTTGACACTTGTATGAGCTAGAATAAGATCATAAACAATATAGAAATTGAGTGTTTAAGGATATTTGAATATTAACTAGATTGATGGTAGAAGTGTAGCATGTTAGACAGAAGGATCATAAGTGAAAAAGTTACAGATTAAATGTAGGAATCCATGTGTAATTTTATTGACAAAATTCTGGTGTAGATTTGGGACATAGTTTCAAAGAAATCACTGGTAGAAGTTGTTCAAAGTAGAATCTTTGTAAGTAAAATAAGTTTTTTATTTTGATTTTACATTCTTTTTGACAGAAAAGCTAGCTATAGACTTACATAGTCTAAAGCTCTTTTTTTTTTTTTTGCCGGTCGTGGACCTGAACTCTGGGCCATGGTCTAAATCTTTGAAGGTTACATTTTGACTGATTAAAGTGATCAGATATTAATAGATAATGTAATAGATAATATAAATCAAAGCAGTCTTATTAAAACATTAGAATACTTTCTGCTCAAATACTTGCTGTGAATAAACTCAAGTATGCAATCTAAGGGAGAATTTAACAGATGGTAAAATTCACTGTATTCTTATATATAACTGGTGAGAATATTCATCTGCAAATATCATTTCACTGTAATTTTTTCTGTATTTAGCAACTGATTGTGAGGCTTTTCCTCCCTAAATATAGGCTTCTTTTTTTTTTTTTTTGCTTTCCAGAATCCATTCACTAATTTATTAAAAGATTTTTTCACTGGCCTTGCTTCAGAGAAAGGTCAACCTGTCTATAAAAGGCCTGTGGTAAATACATTACTCTTTTTGCATCTGAAGATTTCTGTCACAACCATTTGATACTGCTGTAGTGTGAATTATCCCTGGACAAAATAAATATGAATGGTGTTCCACAAAAATTTTACAGCTCAGCATCAGGCTAGATTAGAGAAATAGCTAAAATAGTGTTCAAGATTTTATGACTTGAATAATTTTTCTTTTGTTACTAGGTGAAAGTAGGAGATAAATGTTCTTTTTACTTTTCCTTTTATGCTTGTCAGTTTTGGTACTTGGGGGTTTTCATTTTTTTTTTTTTCTGGTGCCACCCATTCTTAAATCCTTTTTAGGAGAGAAGAAGGAGAAAAAACAGCAAGCCTTAGCAGGAAGTGCTGACTCTAAACCAATAGATGTGTCCCGTTTGGACCTTCGAATTGGTTGCATTCTTGCTGCCAAAAAACACCCAGATGCTGATTCTTTATATGTAGAAGAAGTAGATGTTGGAGAAACAGCCCCAAGAACAGTTGTCAGTGGGCTGGTGAATCATGTTCCTCTCGAACAGGTAATCTGTACAGCTAACATTTGTTACAACAAAGTCCTTCTTGTTTGGCTGTCTTTAACCTATCTCATGTCTATGTGATCAGTTCATGTGATCAATTTGAATGTGTAAATATTATAAAAAGGTGTCTATAGTCAACGAAAACTTGAAAAACATCTGTTCTTATTCACTATGCTGCTTTTTTGTCCTTCTGAACCTATATAAATCCATACATTCATTTATATTGAAGATATAAGTATTTATTGGCATTTGCTTTGTACCAACCACTACTCCAGACAAAAAATATATATACAGCTGCAAGAGTTGATAGGTAGACAGCCAGATAGATTTAAAGCAAAAGAGTTCTGCCTTTATAAAATTCAGATCCTTCTGAGAGAGTCAGAAACTTACCAATACATAAGTGAAAAGTAAATAGTAATTAGTGCCAAGAGAATAAATGTGGGGAAAGAATCCAGGATGTACTGAAGCCAAGATGGTGCTACCATTTATAAAGTAGTCAGAGAAGGCTTTGTAAAGAAAGTGATATTTGAGTAAAAGTATAAGAAAATGAAGAAGGCAAGTCAAGTGTCCTTTGGGCAGAACATTTCCTGCAGCCCTGTGACAATATATACCTTTGATGTCTAAGGATTATCAGTTCTGTGACAAGAACAGAGTAAATAAGGAGGAAAGTCATGGGAGATCAGAGATATGGGTACCAAATGACTATTGGAGAGATCATTGTAAAGATTTTAACTTTTGATCGGAACAAGGAGAAAGATATTGGTGGGGTTTTCAGCAAAGTAATAGCAGGGTTCGCCTCATATTTTATTCTTACTATTCTTTGGGTACAGAGGTGATAAATTAAGATTAGTAAAGAAATTTATAAAGTGTAATAGATTTGGCACATGGGTGGGCTTTTTTGTTTTCTATTAGTTGGGTTTTTTTCACTTTTTATTTTTACCAAATTTGAACATGTATACACATTATTTTAAACAGAAAAACTTTTGGAAGAAAATGACTGGAATCTTGACTAAATCTGAGTTACTATCCTTCTATCAATTTCTATCCATTTGTTTTTTACAAGAAAAAAACTGCAGAGCTAAAGAGATTTTATAGTAGTTTATATTTGCACACAAATTCTGCCCAATTGCTCAATACCACCAAAGTAAAATTCTTAACTCTTTCACTGAAAATGAAAACCACATCTGCCACTTGTTCCCAATATAAAACTGATTGTTCTATAAAACCAGCTGACTTAGTCAGATAATAACTGGAGTTTGAGAGATGGTCCTTCCACCTTGCCAATTCATCAAATAAAGACCATTCTAGGAATAAGGTAGGATAGAAAAAAATAAGGCCAAGCAGAAGGACTACCATAAATAGCTGGTAGAAGCTCCAGGGAATCTTGCTAATGCATGTGCCAGTGTCTTGAGGTGAAGAAAGTTTGTCCACATCTGTTTTATGTCCTCCCACTGACTAGTATCAAAATTCTTCATTAAAGGGCTTGAGGGCAAATTAGAGGGAGCCAAAGGAGTTTCCTTGATTACTTTGATTTTCTCCCTGAACTTTTGCATCTGCTGCTGAAATATAATCAGTTCTGACACATCCTGAAAGCCTCGGCAATGTTAAATGCCATTCATTGCTCCTGCAAGATGGCACTAAGTTTGTTGATCTCCGGATCATAGGCTTGCATGAATGCAAGTTTCATGGTCTCAAAGTCAGACAGGATTTCATTCTTCTTTTGATCCAAAGTGTGTTGCAACTTCTCAAAAAATTTCCTTCACTTTATCTGAATCTTTAGTCAGTAACTGTAGGGCTTTCCTCTTGCTAGTTTCTAAGGTATCTAAGCAAGAAAGAGCAGGTCTCAAAACTCTGAAAGAGGGACTCAAAGGCATCCCTTTCCTGAGCATAGGCATCTTCAGTAGAACAGAAGACATGTTTGGTGTGGTCATCCTGAGTAGCACAGATCCCACAAATCAGCTGCATATCAGCTAAGCAGAAAATATTGAGAGGCTGACCTTTACACACTTGCATTTTGGGAGATATCTTGATTTTGTTATATTTCTCCACACACAATACCCTTCAGGGAGTAATTGACCTGTAAACTATTGACTCCAGTAGCTGAAGGTTCTTTACGGCACATAGAGCACTTGAATGGAGATGGTCTCCACAGAGAATTGCACACATTTCCCTCTAAGAGACCTTCCAAGCATTTTTTGCAGAAGTTTTGTGAGCAAGGCAAAACTCTAGGATCATCAAACAGACTGCAGCAATTGGGCAGGTGAGATCTTCAAGCAGCTCCATCACATCTTCCGTCCCCAGCAATCAGGTGTTTTCAGCAGGATTACTATTTGCCAGGGCAAAGCAATCATGGTTTCTTTCTCATTTTGGCTGACAGGCTAGAGGCTGATTACTAGACTTGGTCTTCATTTAACTAGCAGTTTGATGTACAGTATTTCAGATGCAGCTTCTGGCTTGAAACACAGAACTTTAGGCATATCTTCTAGGGAGACCAAAAAAAAAGAAAGACGCTCTAACATTCTATGCAATACTCCTTTGACCCTGTCAGCATCGGGATTGTGCACGAGGCCCTGTTATTTGGGTTTGAATGCAGTGCCTCATGCTTGCTAGGTAGGTGCCCTGCTGCTGGAGTCATCCCTCCAACCCTTTTGGCATTATTGAAGTAGAGTTTCACTTTTTCCCTGGATTTCCAGTCCTGGCCTCAATCTTTCTATTATGAGTAGCTAAAAGGACAGGTGTGTACCACCACATCCAATTTTTTATTGGTTAAGATGGTAATCTTCTAAATATTTTGCCCAGGTTGGCTTCAGATTGCCATTCTCATTTCAGCCTCTCTGGTAGCTAGGATTACAGCTGTGAGCCACCACACCTTGCTACTGTTTTTTCCTTTCCTTTTTAACATTCAGATCTTCTTCATACCTTTTTTTTCACATTCCTGCCAGTACTAGGATTTGAGCATTATACTTGTTCCAGCATGCTTTACAATGTAAGCTGTACCTCCAACCTGCTTTTTTGTTGGTTATTTTTTTTCTTCCCTGAAACTGTTCTAATGTGTTTTTCATTTTTAAACTCATTGAAAACATTTAAAGAACTACATAGCTTATTTTTGCTAGTTTGGGAAAAATAAGTATTGCAACTTAGCAGATTACAAAAAAATTTTGTTCATTTCTATAACAAATTATAGAAGTAATCCTAAATGTTAATTGTAATATGCATGACACTTGGATGATTAAATGATTATTCTCTAAGAAAGAAAGGACTGGGGTTTTTACCAAGCATTTCTGAGTCTATCCCCAGTATCACAAAAAAAAAAAAAAAATGAAAGAAGGAAGGGAAAGAAGAAGAGTAAGAGAGAAAGAAATCTAGGAAATACTAGACGTGACCTAATGTTTACAGAATAAAATGAACATGTATAAATGAGTGCATTTATTTTCATGTTAATACTAGTCTAAATGCTTTACATGTATGTAATGATTTAATCCTATGACAACTTTCAGTAAAATTCATTGTTACTTCCCTCATAATTCAAGGTTCATCCAACTCAGCTGTTTGTGTAATCATGTGATAGATAGCTGTTTAACTGAAAGGTCTGTGCTTTTCAACCATAATGCTCTGTCAGTTTTCATATTTATGCAATGATTCATAATAAGAGTGAAGGATATATCCATAAATTTCATATTTAACCTAGTAAGTATTCTTTGCTCTTTTAGATGTGCCCATTCTACATCTCTAGTCACCAGTTTATTTTCTACACAGATGCAAAATCGGATGGTGATTTTACTTTGTAATCTGAAACCTGCAAAGATGCGAGGGGTCTTATCTCAAGCAATGGTGATGTGTGCCAGCTCACCTGAGAAAGTTGAAATTTTGGCTCCTCCAAATGGATCTATTCCTGGAGATAGAATTACTTTTGATGCTTTCCCTGGTAAGTGTGTACTGATTTTTAAAATAGGTTGGGAGTCACTTGTGATTTCAAGTATTTTCATGGTATTGAGTGTTTTTGAGATTGGCTAATGATGACACATTGAGCCTAACCATGTAACTATCTTTCTCTGTGAACACATACAATAAATCAGACTACAGAGAGTCTTTGTTGTGGATAATGTACTAATATTAATACATTGTAGAACAATGTGACTTCAATATACAACAAATTATTGTTTTGCAAAACACTTAAGATGTAGACTATCTCAGACTGCAACTCAAAATTACGAAGAAATACAAAGTTCAAATATGTGTGAAATACACATACTTCTTAAAAACTAACAATATATTTATATATGCTTTACTTTGTTCTAGGAAATAGAGAAAATGTCTAACTTTAAATTATTTCAGTTGGACACCAGTGGCTCACACTTGTAATCCTAGCTACAGAGGAGGCTGAGAGGGGAAGGACTTGTAGTTTGAAGCCAGCCTAGGCAGAAAAGTCTGTGAGACTCCCATCTCCAATTAGTCAGCAAAATGTTGAACTAGAGATATGGTTCAAGGGTCAGTTATAAGCAATGAAGCAAAGCAAGAGCTGGAGGTCCTGAAGTCAAGCCATGTACTAGCCCCTCTCCCCCTCCAGGTTCACTTATTTGACAATGTAAAAAAATAAAATATTTCATATTATTTGATTTTTTTTCCAGTAAAAATCCAGAAACAGAAGAAACTAATATTTGAGAAAGTTTATTGAACTGTTTATTTATTTGTACTTTTTCAGTGGTGGTATTGGGGTTTGAACTTGGATCCTTTTCCTTGCCTAGGCATGTACTCTTCCTCTTCAGCCACGTTCAAATCCTTTTGTTGTTGTTTTAATTGCTTTTGGGGATAGGAGCTCATGTGTCTGGCCAGATCAGCCTGCTTCTTCTCAGGTAGATCACATGATAGGATCTCTTCACTGTGCTCAGTTAACAATTGAGACTGTGTCTTGCTAATTTTTTGCTTAAACTGGCCTTGTCCCATGATCCTTCCATTGTCTACCTCTCAAGTAGTTAGGATTACAGGTGTGAACCACCAACAATAGGCTCAAATAGGCCCTTGAAACAAAAGAGAAAGGGTAAAATAAGTATTTGTTTTATAAAAGAGTAAAAACTACCAGGCACTGGTGATTCATACCTGTAATGCTAGCTAATCAGGATGCTGAGATCAGAGGATTGTGGTTTGGAGCCAGCCTGGGCATGAGACTTTAATCTCCAATAAACTACCAAAAAAGCTGGAAGTAGAGAGCACCAGTCTTGAGTACAAAGATCAGGGACAGTGCCCAGACATAGAGTTCAAGCCTTGGGACCAGCAAAAAAAAACAGTTAAAAACATTGTGAGATTAAAAAAAAAGTTAAAAGGTAAAAGTGAAAGCAGAATTATGTTGAATGATCAATGTTAATTTGGAGCTATTTAAAAAAAATACTTTTTACTGGAATAGCAAGACTGATATTATATAGGCATTTTAAAAAATCATGTGGTAACTGTTTGATAAAATATTAGAATATGAAGAGGTTTAGGAGGTTTAATGTTGGAAGAATAAGAAAATATGGGTGAAAATATGGATTAAATAACTAACCAAAAGTAGACTTTGGAAAGCAGAGTATTTTATGTAAGTTCTGTGGCTTTGAATATCTATCTATATCTATCTATCTATCTATCGATATCTATCTACTGAATAGCAACTATACTTCATAATCTGTGCTACATGAATCATTTTCTCTTTGTGTGAAAAGTTCCCAGTCTAGATGATTTCTCAAAGAAAATGTATAATTTTAGATTCTGAGTTTGTAATCAGCACTCTTCTCCTGCAATATCAGAACACTTCCCAAACTTCCTACTCTGGGTGAAGCTGTCACCTGTATTTAATCTAAACCTATTTAGAAGCCTCATTCACTAAATTTGAATAAGCGACAAATTGTTTTTCTTTAAGTAAGCTGAGTAAAGCAGCAAAAATAAGTGATCCTGATGTGCCTTTCCAGATTAACATTTTCCTTTTTGTTTAAATTCTTAAGGATTACTATTTTTAAAGCTTTATTCTTTTATATAAATTGTAAACTCAGTTATTTAAAACTAAAAAACTTCTTTAACCTTTCCCCTTCCCCCATTTTTTTTTCTTTTAAAAATTTGGGACTAGCAGTCCAGTGAACCCTAGTTCTAACTTAGTTGGTAGAAGAATTAAACCACAGAGAGTCCCTAAGCACTAGTACTGTAGCATTTTGTTCATTGACTTGTTGCTTGAGATAATTAATGTGGACTATTTCATTAATGAAGGCTATAGTTCTTGTTTATTTATTTAGCAGAATTAGCAGATAGATAGTTTCACCATTTGAATCTAGTTCTATCACCTAAATGTTACTGTGGAATAAATTGAAAAATAAAAAAAAAACATGTGTGTATATATATATAGATATAGATAGGTAGATATATCTATATCCATCTTTTTAGTTATCTACTCACCTGCTATTTGAAATGCTAATGACCCAGCATGGATTAATTGCCTTTGTTTTATTAAAACATCTTTCATTCTGTTTGGCTGGTTGCTTGTATGTGCATGCTTTTAAGTTCTATACTCTGGTATTTTTTTCACATTTTCCCTTTGTTCTCAAGTACTTTATGAGCAGGAGGTAATATTTGTAAAGTGAAAGAAGACAAAAATCAAACTTTAAAACAATCATGAGATTATTTAAATTATTTTCTAACAGTTAAATATTTCACCAAACAGGATGATCTCAAGTAGTTAATAGTTTGATCTGTTAGTAATCATATTCCATATGCTTCCATACCAGCTTCTATTGCTATAGCAGTATCTGAAATACCATGCAACAAGCCTGCTCATGATTTATCAGTGATTTTTTTTTATCTTGTTTTGCATTGCAAGACTTAAGGTTCTGCTGATAAATTTCGATATATACTTGGTGTGCTTAGTGTTTAGGGAGTGAAATCTTACATTTGTTGAAAGTAGTATAGAAATTACAAATCATCTTTGAATTGCAGTTTGGCCTTGAACATACTTACTGATTTTTTCCAATTACAAAGCCAGAAATTCCCTAGAAGTTAGAAGATGCCAAGTAATATGTTTATAACAATAGCTACAATTTTTCTCACCCACAGAACACCTTTGAGAATCTTAAATGTGAAAACTATAAATTTTAGTATTTAAATGTGGTAATTGGTCCCTAAATCCCCAAGCAAATAACCTGAAATGGGGTTCCAGCTAAGAGACAAAGGCACAGCTCTTTTTGAGACTACATTCTTCATGGTCTAATAATAAATGGGAATTTACATTCTGACTTGCATAGTTGAGCTTATTTCCATTGATACTGAATCTTACTAATATCTATTAGTAGTTAATCACAAAGCCTGAATTTAGCTTTGAATTTTTTTTAAAAAATATTATATGTACTTGGTTTCTTATCGCTGAAATCCATTTTAGGCAGGTTTCTTTCCCACCTATTTCAGAGCTGCTTAGGTTAAGATTACCAATGTCTAGTTCTCGGTCCTTAACTCACTGGGCAAAACTTCTGGCCGCACTCTTGGTCCTCTTGCTTCACTTCATCTTTTTTTGCTGATTTCCCCCCCCCCCTCATTTCTCTGACCTCTTATTGGTGTACATCAGAACTAGGTCCTTAGCTTCGTTTTTTTTCTCTTCATGCTATCCATTTAGTGTTTTGGGTTTTTTCCCCCCAAATCTACCTGTCTAGCTGCTTAATGGACTCTCACATCTCAGCGGAGAGATACTACATCTTGTGTCTCAGTCTTCCCCCCAGGAATCACCTTTTCCACAATATTTTTGCGCTAATTTGGTAGCAACTCTATTCTCCCAGTTCTTTATCTTCTAGCCTGCATCTTTTTCAGAAAATGCTAGTGGCTCTGTTTTCTGAGCATATGTAGATTAATTGTCAGGGTCTCCACCATTCCCATCCTGGTCCCCATGTGAACACTTCTTATCTGCATGACTGCAGATGCCTTCTAACCCATCTCTCTACTTTCCCCGTTATCTTTCTGCCATCTAAAATGATGTAGGTCTTATTTTATTATTCTGCTTAACTGTAGTTACAGACTTTCCTTCTGGCTCATGCCAGCTCCTGCTACGAGCCCAGCTTCTTAGCATGGTCTTCTGTTACCTCATTAATCTCATGTGTTCCAAGTTTTCCTTGCTTATTCCACATGAGCCACTGGCTCTTTTTCCAGATAGCTACATCACTTGCTCTTTCTTTTTACCCAGGTGTTTCAGATATCATCTGCTTTGCTTTATTTTTCTCCAAATACGTATTCCTAGCTAATAATACTATACATTATTTATTGTCTGCCCACATGAAAACTGAACATCATGAAATCAGGATTTTTCTTTTTTATTATTTATTACTGTAGTTTTAGCATATTGAAGTATATTTGGCATAAAAGGGTTTATTAAAATGGTCAATTAAAAGGAAACAGTAGTAAAACAGTTCTTAAAAATATACGCTTGAAAAGGGGTGGGGGTGTGGGGAAAGCCATCTACATTTATTATTGCCCAAGTCATTTTTTTTTGGAGTAATTTTTTTTTAATTGTGAGAATACCATACAGAGGAGTTACAATTACATGGGCAAGATAACGAGTACATTTCTTATCAAGCTTTGTTGCCTCTTCTTTGTTTCCCCTTTCCATCCCTTCCCATATTCTCCCCACCTCCCCCACCTGATCCCCCCCCCACCAAAGTTGTAAAGTTCATTTTTTGACATAACAACTTGTACATCTCATTGTTGCAATGGGTCCACCTGTATCCCTAGTTAAACGATTTGTTTTTGCCCTTCCCCTCCACAAATTATACAGTGAAAGCAGGGGTTATACCGTGGGGGAGGGACATACAAAGCAACATAGAAATCATCTTATGAATATGTTAGAAGCAATTGCATGTAAGAAAAAAAAACATTTGAATACTTATCTTGGGGTTCATTCCCTAACATCAACTTATCTGACCTTTTCTGCTTGACTCAGACATATACTAGTTATTGCAAATAAGGGAAACCATGTGTCCCATGTTTCTTTGGGCCTGGCTTACTTCACTTAATATAATTTTTTCCAAGTCTTTTGCCCAAATCATTTCTATCAAACTGAAAAACCATTTTTTCTATTATTAGTTTTGTGAGTTAATTGGCTCCTTATATTCAGTTCTCTATGTGTGTATTCATACTTGTGAATATTAATTCACATATATTAGTTACAATAATAGTTATAATGATCATAATTCAAATATTCAGGTATTCAAACATAAAATAATTAAGTTAGTACCAAGCTTATCTTGGCCATACCAAATAGTAAGGGGAATTTGATCAGTGAACATGCATTGTATAAGAATGACCTTACTAAAATGTAATTTCTGATTCCATACTTTGCATGCTAGAATTTTTTCCTTTTAATGGTTTTAAATGTTAAACAGATGTTCTCCATTCTTTATACCTGTACAAACTTTTGTAGATTTTTTTTCTATAATTTTCTGTGTTTTTTTTTTTAAAGAATAGATTGGCCTACAGTAATTTGTGAATTAGTTCTCTTGCAATATATATAAGCATCCCTAAATGGTGATTATTGGCAGAGGCTCTACAGTTTTAGCTTAAACTTCTACTCCTCTCATTTGCCTTTTGATGGCATGTCGGAATAAAAGGTTAGGGAAATAAGATCTAGAAGGAAGAAGATTATAACACAGGAATGAGAGCAAACCTCTTAGGAAGATATGAATCATTAAACAAAAAGTAAATTCTTAAAGCATTAGGTGGGAGATATGGGAGATGACTCAGCCTCTTCTTTCAAACTAGATTGTACCCACACCAAGTAGTATATTTTTTAAAAAAACATTTTAAGCAAACAAGAAAGTTAACATCAAATCTGTGATACACTAAGGAAGCAATTTAGTCATACATGTTGAATGTTGAAGTATAGATAAAACATAGGTACTTTCCAGTTGTAAAATATAAAACATCAAAATTTCTCATCCTCAAAATTTTTCTTAATAAGGAATAATAAAATTAACATCTTACATTTTTCTTTAATAATTTGGAGAACAAATTCTTAAGCTCTATTACCTGAAAAGATGCTTGTTAGAAAAGTTAAAGAAAAAAAAAGCCAGCAGCCAATGGCTCATGCCTGTAATCCTAGCTAGGCTGAGATCTGAATATCACGATTTGAAGCCAGGTTGGGCAGGAAAGGCTGTGAAACTCATATCCTCAATTAACTGCTAGAAAAAACTGGAAGTGGGGCTGTGGCTCAGAATGGTAGAATGCTGGGCTTGAGTACAAAAGCTGAAGGACAGCTCCCAGGCCCTGAATTCCAAGCCCTATGACTGGAGGTTATAAAAAATATATATATATCTATATATAGATATATATATGTATATATATGTATATATAGATATAGATATATATATGTATATATACATATATATGTATATATATATCTATATATAGATATAGATATATATATGTATATATGTATATATCTATATATAGATATATATATGTATATATATTTTAAAAGTCTTTGTTAATAAGGATATAATATTTCATTAATAAAAATATAAATATTAACATAAAAATAAAATGCTATTTTTTAAATTAAAGATTATGTTTATTATGTAACTTTTTGTTGTTGTTTTTTCCCTCCTCCTTCGTCTGCCTATCCCCAACAGGAGAGCCTGACAAGGAGCTGAACCCTAAAAAGAAGATTTGGGAGCAGATTCAGCCTGATCTTTACACTAATAATGAGTGTGTGGCCACCTACAAGGGGGCACCCTTTGAGGTGAAAGGAAAGGGTGTGTGTAGGGCTCAAACCATGGCCAACAGTGGAATCAAATAAAACAAATGTGTTACTGAAATACATTGGAGAAAACTTTAAAGACAATAAAAAGGAATATATTTGTCACTTATACATAAAATATGACTGGCTCGTTTTTCTGTTCTCTTTCAGACTTAACTAGTCTTACCTTATATATGTTGTTTTCAGATATTAGGGAAAATACATGTTATATATGGATTCTGATTATCATGGAAGGGGGAAATTACATGTTTTTCGATTATTTTTCAGTGGGGATATTTATTGGCTAGTAGGTTATTTTTTTCTTTCCACATTAAGATAACAGACCAGTAATACATAGTTCATTATTCATGAATACATCATACATAAAATGTCAAACCTTGGCAAAATCAGCCTGTTGTTGCTAACAGTTGTTGGTTATTTATTTATTTATTTTTTATTGTGAAAATACCATACAGAGGGGTTACAATTACATGAGCATAGTAATGAGTACATTTCTTATCAAGCATAGTTACCTCCTCCTTTGTTTCATCTTATCATCCTTCCCTTCTCTCCCCTCCCAGCTCCCTCCTGCCCCCACCCCCAACGTGTGTTTTTTATTTTTATGCATGTACTGGGGCTTGAACCCAGGGCCTTATGCTCCCATGTTTTTTTTGCTCAAGACTAGCATTCTACCACTTGAATCATACCTCCAATTTTTTTGCCTGTTAATTGGAGGTAAGAGTCTCAGACTTTTTGTGCCTAGGGTCACATTGACCTGTGACCTCATCCCAGTCTTCTGAGTAGCTAGGATTACAGGTGTGAGCCAGTGGGGCCAGAACTAGTTGGTTGCCTTTTTAACAAGCCATGCACTTTGTGATTCTTTGTGAATACAGTACACTATTGTTGAAGTCCATCGTAAAACTAATGTGTAAGGGATAGATAATTTATATCATGAATAACTTTTTTGGTTATATCCAGTTGTGTCAGTATTGGCTAATAACTAAAATTTGGCAATAATAATGAAAGTTGGAATAGTTGGTGATGTTAAGATTCTCCATCTAAATTTGAGTGTTTTGGGTACCAACATGGGAATAGGAAAGTATGACTTAAATATGCTTGTTTATTGCACTTTTTTTTAGTTAAGAGTTTTCATTTGAATAAGTCTTGGCTGAGGAAAGACCCAGAAGAATAAAGTAATTGTTGATTTGAAAGTGAGCCATCTGGAACTTCAGAGTGTAAATTAATTATTGTATATTATATTGTTTTCACCCTTATGTATTCCCTAGTTTATTTTTCTTTTAGTCCCAACTTCCACCCCCTTACTAATTCATTCTATTCCCAATTCCCTAGATTTCTAGGTAAAAAATATGTATTAATGTTATTTCTGTCTTCATCAATATTATTTCCTATCTGGCAGCCTCTTGTCCTTAGCAACAGGAACAGAAACAAGCCTGGGGCTCAGTAATTGCAAGGAGAAAAAATAATCCTTTTTTAATGAAGGGCTAACTGCTTTCCTTATCTTTCCCATTGCTATATAATGCCTACATAATTTTCCCAACAGCAGGCATTAATATCTGTTTATTTCCTCTGTGGCATTCATATGATGAGCAAAATGTCAAGACTACTTTCAACAGAATTCCACATTTGTTTTTATAAATTGCCTCATTTGAGTATCATACATTCCATAGAGAAAGGCTGTGAATGCATACGTCCCATTAAGTGTTCAGTCCAAGATTACATATTTGGCTGATTGTTGTTTATTTAAACTCATTCAAATTTTCACACCTGGAGACTTTGGAAAGAATGATACAGTCATCCAAAATCTGCATGAATAAATTTCTCTTTTAAGAAGATTGGTAAAAATTCAAAGTAAAAGTAAGTTAAGCAAAAGAATGATTTTGTTGAAAGAATCTCTATCACCCATTTTCATATGGAATGATAACATTTTTCTCTTAAAACTACATTCCTTGAAAAACATGCTTTGAAAAGAGACTTTCCTAAGTTTGATATGAGAATCAGGAATAACAATACTACTTGGAAATTTTGGCCTTCTTAAAATGAAATGTCTATCGGTAAATTCTTAAAAAGTTAGATAACCCTTAATTTAAAAAAAAACATGGTATAGAGAATAGTAAACAGTTAAAGACACGGGCTTTTGTTGTTTTGAAATCTGAAATCATTCAATACAGGCATGTAGGTAGAATAAACCCAGGAATTGTCTGAGCTGGGAGGTCTTAGAGGTAATGCCTAATTTCCCCAGCATGGTACCAGCTACACAAAAATGTCAACTATACTAGCTTACATTTCCATCTTTTTATCTAGCTATCTGTCTACTGCCTAAATAAGACACAATGAATTATTTAGCTTAATATATGCCATCTGAGCATGAGTTGAAGTAATTTAGAACGTTAGTCATTGAGCACTCTGGGAAAATGCCAGTTAATCTTGTTTCTAATGAAAATTACAGTGTATTGCACACTAAAATTTTTTATTTACATATTATGAAAACAAGCTATTTGTAAGTTGTTGACTATCTGGAAAATGCACATAGAAATAAATGTTAATGTAAAGGTGATAGTTGTTGATAGGTTTGACTCTTCCATCCATTTATAGTTTGCCTTTGGTATTTTTCCACTGCCCTATTAAACATATTGCAAAGATTGCTACAATAATCAAGTGTCCCATCTATAATCCAGGCTCTATTTAGAGATTTTTCTTTAGTCAAGATTCTAATTCAGAATCTTAGTACAATTCTTACATCGTACTTGCTCAGGATTGCTCTGAGTTTTACCCCTAATGTTTCCATGTGTAAATGGAAACCACAGATTTTAAGAAAGTAGAAAATAAGGTTGACATTCTGAGGATCTTCCATGAGCCAGGTCATTTAACCATTCCAGCAGTAGGTATTCCAAATGAGGGAATACTGGCAAGGTTAAGCAAATTCCCTTTCATATCAGTAGCTAACCTGTAGAGAAAGTTTTTTAATATAGATAGTTCATTTATAACTTTATTTAAAAATAAAATACACTTGGTGACTCATAAATTGCAAGCATTATTAGTAGGTTCATTTTCGCAGGTGAACACACTGGGCAACCAGCTCCTAAATCAGGAAACAGCATTACTGGAACCCCAGAGACTTCCACGATCATCCTTTAGTTCACTGTCCCAGGTAGCTTAGATTATATTCCCGTTGACTGATATGAAATTTACACAAAGAGAATCATAGAGTATGAACTACTTTAATCTTGGCTTCTTTCTTTCAACATACTAGTTGGGCAGCTGATTAATATTGTTACAGGTCATTGAGTTGGCTCATTCTCATAACTATAATAACTCATCATGAAATACACTACCATTATGAACACTTGGATAGTTTCTACTTTGTAACTATTATGAATAGTGCTGCTATGAACATCCTTATCCCTGCATGTCTTTCAGAGCACAAATGAACAACTTCCTATTGGATATATACAAAATATAATTGCGATATCACAGGATATAGGAAAACAATACTAAATGCTGTGTTTGGGGCGGGGGCAGTACTGGGTTTTGAACTTGAACTCAGGGTTATATGTTAGGCAGGCATTCTATCTTTTGAGTCATTCTTCTTTTTAACTTACAATTTTCCAAAATGGTTATACAAGTGTACACAATCACTGGTGTTGCATACAGTTCCCATGGTCCACATCCACACTGACAAAACAGTTTTGAAAATCAGGCTCCGACTCAATAACCAATACTCTTTTCCTTTGACTTAAATTTTATTTAAAGGTAAGGACTTGAAAGTTATTGTCTTTTATAAATTCTGTGATCTTTTCTAAGATTTTCATTCTTTGTTCATTAATGAAGTTTCCTTTTTTGTACTGGAAAATACATCTGTGCTGAATGGAGGTCAGTAGACATAGCAGTGTATCAGAAGCCTGACATAAGTATTCATTTTCCTTGAATCCAGCCTCTTCCATTTTTTCTGCATGGGTGAAAAGAACAGCAGTATGATTCTTCCAAGCATCTCCCAGAAGTTCCTGAAAGACAGATGAACTTAAATGATTATTTGCTTTGGACGGATTCCTCAAAAAGGAGTGAAGGAATTGAGGTCCAATGTAATTAGCCCTTAGATTGGTGGGATGGTATTTAAGAAAGCTGATATGTATAATAGATATAAGCTCAAGTGTTATAAGCAAATAGAGGGAGACAAATGGATTCTGAAGACATTTATTTTCCTGGTACAATTAAAATACAACCTATATTCTGCATGCATCTTATCTGGTTATACAGAAATGGATGTAACAGTAATCATTCAACTCACTTGACAATGTTACCCTCTTAGATCTACTAAATTCCTTTAAGTTAAAGGACCTTGGCCAAGGAAATCCATGTGTCATTTTGTAGGTATGTTGTATTATCATCTCTAAGAACTTCTACTAGGGACTTAAAATGACATAATATAGTTACAATCTATCAACATTCAGGTGACATGCAACAGAAAAAATACATTTGGTAATTTGGAATAGCTACAAAATATTACCCTAATCCTTACCCTCCTCACTGCACATGCTTAAAGTTAAAAAATCAAACAATTTATCAAATGACTTCTAATGTGGTTGCAAAACTTTGAAGGCTGGTGTTCCTTTGTTTAGTAATATGTGGAAGTTGGTTATGTAATAACTTCTTGTTTGATTAGTGAAAACAGGATGATATAAAGCAGAAGTAATAGCAGGTAGAAAATTCACATAATATGAAAGACATCTAGAAATAGCTACTTAAATTTTTCAATATTTACACATTTTATGAAATTATAACAGTATGGCAAGAACATTTTCCTATTCATACATTGCCATTACCAAAGTATTTCCAAGGTGCTACCAGCTTCTTATTGAAAGAAAAATGCAAAATGCCTAGAAATAAACATAACAAGAAATATCCAGGGCTTCTACTAATCAGAATAAGGGAAAACAACATACAGTGCCAGGTATTATGCTAAAGTGTTTACATGAATTATCTCTTTTGAAGCTCAATAAGGTTCTTTGTGGGAGACACTGTTGCTTTCTTCATTATTATCTGGAGATGCTGACACATAGAGAGGCCTACTTACAGATTTTAGTAAGAACTTGAGCTTGAATTCATTTACAAATAATGGCAGTTTGGGAAATGATTTCCAATGTGTATAGCACATACAGACTTAGCATTTATGACATCAAAAACAAAATAAGAAGGAAAGAAAAGGAAGGAGAAGTTAAGAGAAAGGAATGGAGGGAAGGAAAGGGAGAAAGAAGAGAAGGAATTAGAATTTATTAATATGAAAATACCCATGAAAACTGTGGGATAAAGTACTTATAATTGGAAACATCTTATAACCATGGTTACCAATGAGAACTTAGCTAGTCTGGCTCTTGTCAGCCATTTATACATCCTTCTCTAAGACTTGACAGTGCGCATTTTTGCATGCAGAGGTCATGCCTTTCCCTATAAATCAACAATTCTAATGTTATATAAACAATAACATGTTGAATAAAATGGAAATTTAGATTCTCATAAAAACTGAGGTATTTGTTTACGTGTTTTAAGGATTTCATTTTGAAGTTTCATCTCTGGGACACAATATCATCTTTCTGGAAAAGTTTCCCTTTTGCTCTGTGGTTCATTGTGTTAGATTTGCGTATGGTCAGCACTTTTGTTGCGGACTTAGAACAACTCCCTCTAGGGATAAGCTCAATATATTTTCCTCTTATAGGTTCAAAATTTTTCTACCAAAACTATCGAATGAATTGAGTAGTTATTTACGCCAAAATGCCCTGTTTCAAGGAAAAAAACAAAATTGCAGGCCACAACATTATGGAATATTATTTAAAACAGAGTCTAAACTTTACATAAGAATTTCTCAAAAAGTGCTTTGTCATATTCCTATGTGTTGATAAAAACATGAATTTATTTGAAAACTTTAGTCTAACTTTTAAAGATAATAACTTTTATAAGTGTGCAACCTTATGTCAACAGCTAATGGAGACAGGCTAAAAAGCCACTGTCATGTTTTCAGTGTGTTTTAACAGCTATCTGGTAGAGAACAGCTACAGAGATGCAAAGGAAATGAACCATGGTGGTGTAAATTGAATTGTTTCCTTCAATTTCCTATATTGGAGTCCTAGACCCTGTTCTTCAGAATGTGACCTTTTTTTGTAACAGTGTCATTGCAGACATAACTGGTTACTGAAAGGTCATTAAGTTGAGCTTCTAATCCAATATCGATTGTATGTCCTTAAAAATAGGGTAGTTTGAACATATACAGGAAGAATATCATATGATAATAGAATGTCATAAAATAGCATATGAAATGGCCTTCTACAAGCCACAGAGAAGAGTTGGAACAAATCTTTCGTTCACACTTTTCAGAAAGAACCAACCCTGCTTAGTCAGGTGCCGGTGGCTCACACCTGTGTATTCCTAGCTACTCAGGAGGCTGAGATCTGAGGATCATGGTTCAAAGCCAGCCCAGGCAGGAAAGTCCATGAAATCCTTATCTCCAAAAGCCACTCAGAAAACCAGAAATGACACTGTGGCTCATGTGATAGAGCGCTAGCCTTGAGCTGAAGAGCTGAGGGACAGCACCCAAGCCCAGAGTTCAAGCCCCACGACTGACAAAAGAAAAGAAAAAAAAAAGAGCCAACCTTGCAAAGTCCTTGATTTAAGTGAATTCCTAGTCTCTGGAACCAAGAAACAGTAAATACCTGTTATTTATTTGTGGTATTTTGTTACTGCAGTCCCGGAAAACAAATATAAATGGCTAAAATTTTAATAAAGTGCTACATATGTCAGATATGGATGTAAAAAGATTTCTGAGCTGGGCATTGGTGGCTTATGCATGTAATTCTAGCTACTCAGGAGACTGAGATCTGAGGATTACAGTTAGAAGCCAACCATGGTAGGAAGTCCATGAGATTCTTATCTTCAACTAATCACAGAAAGAGCTGGAAGTAGAGCTGTGGCTCAAGTGGTAGAGTGCTTGCCTTGAACAAAAGGAGCTCAGGGACAATGTGCCCAGACCCAGAGTTCAAGTCCCATGGCAGGCACAAAAGAAAAAAAAATCTGGACTATTTCCCTCAAGATCATGTGGAAGAAATAGTAAAAATACACCGGAATTCTTAGTGCAAGAGCTGAGGAAGATGAAGTTTATAAACCACTTCAGGTGTATTTATTGAGGGTCTACTGTGTTCTAAGGAGGTCACATAATAGAAATTCCTCTTAGAGCTGAGGAAGGTGATGGACAGGTAAGAAGTACTAGAAATAGGTTAAAATCATAGAGGATGATATTTAGCCCACTTGGGGTAAGGATGGAAGATAACTTTCTTTCCTGTGATAGTATCTTGGTGTGATTGTTGAAAATGCACAAGAATAACAAGGAAAATAACATAGCCTGACCAGGATTGTATAATATTAGGATATTATTTCTATACAACTTCAGATATTAATCATGATCACTCTTATCTCCAATTTAGATCCAGACTTGATACTTAGCATAGCACTGATATGGTCATACAGATTGTCATATTATGTTATCTATCTTAACCCGTGAGCACCACTTACCCCTATCTTGTTTATATTTATAGATTAATGCCTGGACCACACTTCTCATTAAAGATTTCTGAAATGTCATCTTAAAGGAAGTGCATGTTTAATAAGCTGTTCTGTACAATAGTCCTATCTCAAATAGGCATCAAATTCTCTTGTGGTATAACTTCACAGTCTTCCTTTAGTTCATGGTATTCTGCATTATAATAACATGATCCACCTTTGTTTCCATCAGACATTTCCTATTATTTAAATGGTTATCTCATTCAGGGGCAACAAGTCAACGCATCTTAGGATAATAGGCTCCTAAGCTCCGTGTCACAAGCCCATGTGTTCAGCCATTAGAAGGTTTTTACATACTGGTAATTATTTATGAAATGATGCTTATGTTCTCATCCATGAGAGAAATTGCACTTTTGAATTTCTGCCAAAATCAAAAGAGAATGGTTAATTTAGCTTGTAATCTTTAACTTGATTTTGGGCCAGAAAATAGTTGAGCATTTGAAAGTCGTATCACTTGGTGTATAGACATCATGTCAGTAAGCCAAACATGTTCACAACGGATACAGAGAAAGAATAATCACAGTTGATGGATACCTCACAAAAAGAAATTCAAGAGCAAAGTAGGTCAGGGTGAGTTACCTTGTGTTAATAATTAAAATAGAGTACTAAGCTTGATGGAAATTGTATAATCATAAATTGTTTGGTTTCAGAGTGCTAATGGGTATGAGTGCATCTAGTCCTTTTGGGACAACTGGTTAGGATATAAACTGTGTTTTCCAGGAATGGTGTTCATTTTCCCAGGACCTTACCAGCCCTGCCCCATTTGTTTGTGGTTGATGAAATCATAGCATCTGGAGTTTTAGGGGGAAACTTCAAAAAAAGCCAAGTATTACATCAACTACAAAAATATTATCATGGAGCAGGAGGACAATGAGGGCCTTTGAAAATATATTTAATGTTATTTTCTTCTTCTTATCCTACAAAAAATGCTATATCTTCATTTTCAGAAAGCCTGACTGGAATCAGAGACTTAGAGAGTGTCAGTCAAAATGGCTTCTTTTTATAGGTGAAAGTATAAAGGCCTCGTGATATTAAATTGCTTGGCCAAAGCCATATGGTTGATTACACTTAACAAAGGTCAATCCCAGGACAAACAGTAGCAATAAAATAATAATGGCCACAGCTAACATTCACTGCGCATTTACCATATGCCACTGTCTCCACTGAACAATTGACTCCTGCTATACTAATATGCCAGTAATCCAAAGGGAATCCCACTAAGTATATGTTATTATCATTCCAAACTTACCAATGAAGTTTAGCAAAGTTACCTATCAAGCAATCACAAGTCAGTAGCTAAGCAAGAACTTGGACAGAACTCAGAACACAGAACTGTGTGCTTTATCTCTATATATGTCCCCCATATCTATGGTCCATTTGAATAAGTACTCAATGTGGGGGAAATGACCGTCATAGTATAGGTTACAATTTTTGGAAGTCTACTATAATTTTGGCCCATTGCTAAGTTTGTCACATTGTGTGTGTGTGTGCCAGTCCTGGAACTTGAACTCAGGGCTTGGGCAGTGTCTATGAGCTCCTTTTGCTGAAGGCTAGTTATGCTTACCACTTGAGCTCTACTTCCAGCTTTATGGTGGTTAATTGAAGGTAAGAGTTTCACACACTTTCCTGCCTGGCCTGGCTTCAAACTATGATCCTCAAATCTTAGCCTCCTGAGTAACTTGTTTTACCGCCACCAGCACCCAGCAGACCTCCTTAACATAGGTAAAATTATCCTCATTTTCTAAGTGAACCCCAGAAAGTCTCCGTGACATTAGGCTTAAAAAACTCTAAAATTCTATCTAGCAACTAAGTCCATAATATTTGTTTTGTATATTCATATCCTGAGCCTTTCACATACACATTCAACTTGTGATATGAGCAGGTGAGTTTTTTTTAAATTCTGAAACAAAAAATACACACCTGCAGCTTTCTCATAAACAATAATAATACAGCCCTAAGAGTGAAGAGAGGACTTTAGTCCATTGCAGGATTAGACTCCTAGAGCAACTAGCTCTTTCCTTGAGGTGGCTGTATTATCTCTTCTCTGAACTGTTATTTTTATATATTTTTTTCTTTAGCATTCAAATAATGATAGGACATGAGTGAATTGCTCTGGTTTTGGAGCAATGACTCACTGATATCTCCATAGTTTTGCTGTAAGTTAATAAAGGCCTAAAATAAATAAAGGAAAAGATCGCTTGGGAGACATTTTGAATTGTCACAACCTATAAACCCTCTGAAAAATATTAGAGCATCAATGAGGAGCTATATTTAAAGAAACAAAAAAGGAAGTACAATAAAGAAAGTTAAGTTTCTGCTACTAGCCTTGCAAACACCTTCTAGGGTCAGCAGCAACACCCCCAAAAAGGGTAAAGAAAGAAAAAGGGCAGATGCTCCATTCTCCTTTCTCATCAGCAAAGAAAAAGGATCCATGATATGAATGGAACCAGAGGACCTTAAGATCTTGTAGCTTTGCAACAGCTGCTGGTTCTGTTGAATATTCAGATAACTGGCAGCTGCTTCTAAGCTGTAAACATACAGATAGCTGCCCAGACATCTGAGGCACCTTCAAGACAAAAGTCATTAACAGCCAGAATTTCTTCTGAGACCATCAACCAGAGACCTTGGTGCATCCTGAATATGACCTTAGTACCTTCCAGAGATGACAGGCTACTCTGCTCTGAGGATTACTAAGTCTTGACTGCTGAGTTTTCATAGAAAGTGAAGTTGTTTGCTCTAGAAGAAGGTATTCCAGATCCAATCCTTGTCCTCTTGGATTGCCTCTCTGTCTTCAGTTTCTGAGTTGGACAATGACTTAAGAAAGGCAGTTGTCAGAAAAGTCCATATGACAGTATTTTACAAGGCCAGAGACAAGTAGCAATTCATAAAGAAATTGGGGATTTCAATACTGTTTTATATCCTAAAACTAGAAGAAGAAACTATCTTTAAAAGTGACAGAATTGAAAATATACTTTTAGGAGTTGGGGACCTGGCTCAAGTATAGAACAATTGCCTACCATGTGTATGGCCCTGGGTTCAATACCTAGTGCCACAAAATAGAAAAGGAAAGAAAAAAGAGTAAAAAAAAGATGGACAGAACAAAAGGGGGAAGGAAGGAAAGAAAAACAAGGGAAAGAAGGAGGGAAAGAGGAAGGGAATGAGAGAGAGAGGAAAGATAAAAGGAAGAAAGGGAGTGAAAAAGAAAAGGAAATTATCCTTTGGTGTCCAGAATAGGGAAAAATAGGACATATGCAGAGATTTATGGTTGGTTTTGAGAAGTAGTTTCTTGTGCATTTACTGGCTTAACCAAATAGCATAAGATGTTAAATATTGACTTGATAACAATTTTAAACAAATATTAAATCTATTTAAAAATTATACTGATGTAATGGATTCATGTTTTCCACCACTGTATTTCTACCAGAAGCACAATTAAAAATGTGAGTTTTAATAACTGCAGGGTGGTTTATGGGGCTTTCTTAGCTCCCATATTATGCTTTAAGTGAAATTACTTTTTTTCTTCTCTATTCTTATACACATATACTTGATTTTTCAGGAGTTGAATGGTAAGATGATTTCTTCTGCTCTTGTCACTCTAATTTTTTCCACTAGTTTCTTGTGATTACACATATAACTTTGGTTTTTCAATTTAAAAAGCATTCATGGGAGGATTGCGTAGGGGGGTTGGGGGGAAGGGAAGGGATGGGAAGGGGAAACAAAGGAGGAGGCTAAATGCTTGATAAGAAATGTACTCATTATCTTGCCTATGTAATTGTAACCCCTCTGTACAGTATTTTCACAATAAAAAAAGCATTCATAATTACTGAAGAACAAAATGTGTGTCTATCACTTAGAAGAATCTGTTGTCTTTACTAGTTAGAGTAGAGGAGGAATGTCCTTCAGTAGAACAAATGACACTGGTTTTGTGGACATAACAGGCTTGCTATTGGACCAAAAGAACAGAAGCATTTATACAAATTGTTCTTGGATGCAAATGGCTGTTCCCTGTTCTCCACATAGTTAACCTGTGGAGCTTCTAGTACACATGGCTTCTCCGCACTAGGTGCCTCAGGACAGCTACTAAGTAAATCTATTGAAGTCTAAAAGTTTAAATCTGGGCAATCTGAGATTTGGATTTGGCCACCTAGATTCTGTTCGGATCCAGATTCTGTTCTGGATTGAACAGAATAGAAAAGCTCAACAAACAGCTTTCCAGGAATTGTTAGTAATTGTTTACCTGGGCCTTTTATACTTTCCCCAGTTAGACTAAATGTCTGTGCTCCTTTCATATCTAAACTGTGGTTATACCAGGACCTTTCCCCTTATGATTGCCTAAGTAAATGTTCAATTTAGCCGCTTAAGATACTAATCGTAAGTGCAAGAAATGAACAAACAAATAAGAATGCACCAGTAGTCGAAGATGACGTGTGTCATTTATACTCTATTTGAAGTTCTTGTAGTCTTCTCATGGCTAGAATGGAGCTTTTTTATGAGGTGGGCGATGTACCTGAAATTCCTAGTTTCTTTTTTATAAATAGTGCAGAGCTCTCCCAAAGAGTTTGCCATGATGTGAAGTCATGAAATGGCCTCTTGTGTGTTATACGACTTATACTGCTTTCTCATGTTTTGACTCTTTCATTAGTCTGTTTTGGACTATAGATTTGGAAAGGAAGAGCTTCGTTACCCATCAAACGCTAAATTTCATGCAGGTGTTCAATGCCTGATTCAGTGAATGAAAATCTATTTGTTGGTGAAGTATAATGGATTGTCTCCTTGAATAATGAACACAGGTCAGTATTTTAGTTTATTGAAGCTCAGTTGTTTTAAGAAATACATAGAAAGTTGTGAAAATGACACTATGCACACTCTATTCTGGGACTTCTATGTCAGTAGGTCTTGGATGAAACAGCCTAATTCATTCTGATGCAGTAATTTAGGGATCATGATATACAGATGTATTCTGCAATCCTTAGGATTTAGGGACTCAGTTAACTGAAGAAGATTAGTATGGCAGTTTCCCCCTTCTGTGACCCAGCTATAAAATGACTTACTGAATTTCTCTAAAGGAAAATGACAAAACGAACAAACAACTGGGTGGAAAAATCAATCTTGGCCCTTTCCCATGATGAAAATATCCTCCAAATGGGAACCATGGCACCAGGATAACTTCATCGTTGTATTACCTGGATCAGCTGGATGGGGTAAGATGCCTCCTGTCCACAGAAAGGCACATCTGCTCTCTGGACCAGCAGTGCAAGGTGGAGCCCCTCTTGCCCAAAGTGATGTTTCAGGGCCGCCTTGACCTGCTGCTTCACATGCTGCATGCTCAGATTGCTGTGTGGATAACCCGGAGTGTCCAACACCTGGACTTGCAGGATTATTTCTTGCCCTGCTCGACGCATGAAGCCATGGAGATGACAGCTGCGGCCCAGGCTGCATTCTTGGGTTACAGAACATGGGGCAAAGTGACTGTGGAAGTCAGTGCTTCCCAGAAGAATGTTTCCTGCAGAACTTTTTCCACTCTGAGTTCTACCAAAGAGAGCCAAGTTGATCACTATCTTGTTGTTCGTCATGGCTGTGGGTAACACAAAGGCACAGAATAAATAAGAGTCTACATTCACCCAATGAAAGGCTTCTGTCCTGGCCTGGAGCACTCCATATAGAATTTTTCCTTGGTATCCATGAGGGAATTAGATTAAGGACTCCCTTCCATAACCTATGGATGCTCAAGACCTTTCTTTGAAATGGCATAGTATTTGTATGTCTGCAATATCGTCCTGTATAATTCTTGGCATAATCTTTAGAGTACGTCTAATAACTAATACAATGTAATACTATTTGAGTGGTTGTTCTGTTGTATTTTGTAGAGGATAAGGATGAGGAAAACCCAGCCTACAGATGCTTAATACAGACACTTTTTTTCTGAGTATATTCAATCCACGATTGGTTGAATTCATAGAATGCAGAATCCATGGATATGAAGGGCCGAATGTACTTCCTTTGATTTTCTCCTCCCTATTTCACAGTAGGAACTAAAGCATGGAGGAGGGTTTCCCCCAAAATGAAGATACCAAAGGGAGAGCAGGGACTGTGGAAGTTACAGTGGAAGTTTATAGTGAGAAGACAGAGAGAAGTCAAATCTGATAGGGCAGACATGAGGGAGTCATTAATTGCAGATATATGAGATAGAAAACCCAAATTACATAAAGATAATGTAAAGCATCATTGGTAATGTATCAGGTTGTAGACAATTTGGTATAGAAAGGGTTATTGAGGATCCTGAGCTCAAAAACAAAACAAGAAAGAGCATTAGAAAATTACTCAATCTCAAAGAATTGGAAACTAGTCATTCTTGCAGTTTTTTTTAAAACCATGTCTTTCACCTTCCTGCTTCTCCATTTCCTGAATGTACAAGTGTCATCTACAAATGGCCATTCTCCCCTACTTCCTGAATGTGTCTCTCCTGTGAAACACAAGGAATGTCAAAGATAACTCCAGTGTCTCTTTAACAGATGTATTTTATATAACCAAGCAGTATTCTGATGAACATGAGAACTACTTGTAATTTCTGTTATCAAATAATTGATAACTCACTGGGCACCAATGGTTCACGCCTGTAATCCTAGCTGCTCAGGAGGCTGAAATCTGAGCATTGCAGTTTGAAGCTAGCCAAGCAGGAAAGTCCACAAGACTCTTATCTCCCACTAACCACACAGGGGGGGGGGGAGAGAAAGAGAGAGAGAGAGAGAGAGAGAAAGAGAGAGAGAGATGGAAATGGAACTACAGTTTAAGTGGTAGAGTGCTAGCCTTGAGCAAAACAATGAAACTAAACAAAAGCTCAGGGGCAGCACCTAAACCCTGAATTGAAGCCCTAAAACTGGCTCATAAAAAATTGGTAAATCATTTCATGGTCCATCATTGTGAAGTGTCGACTTTTTAATAAAGAAAGCAAAGCCCTGAGCAATTCACTGAGATGAGAGGTGACTATTGGGAGAATCTATTTGATTTACAGGATCTGTCAAGGGCACTCAATCTGTCATAGAGTGCCTAAGCTCTTTTAGCACTTAAGGTCATTAATCATTTTCATTGGCTCATCGACAAAGGGGCTCAAGCTGCTTATTTAGAAACAGACACTTAAGTATAGCGTATTTATTATTTTTGCTAATCACTTCCAACTAATAGACAGTTTTAAATATCCTAAGCCTTTCCTAATTCCCTAATTCCCTTCACCCCAATATTCCCAAACCCTGACATACCAGATTATGCAGCTCATTTAGCTGTGTCTATGCACAGTTTGGAAGTTGATTTTGTTTTCACTCCAGAATCAAGTGTGTGGTAGCATTTTTAAAAAGCCGACTCTGTCATCCAACACGTTTGCTTACCTTTTCCAGTCTTGGAAGTGTTTTCCAGTCTTGGAAGTGTTTTCTTCACAAAGACTTCTGAGAGCTGGTACAGTTGTGCTTTGGTATGAACTTTAACCTCCTAACCTAATGTTGTACCAGTCAGGGACTGATACTATACTATTTTATTTAGTTAATCTATTACCCGACATCCTCTTTATAAGAGATTAGTTATCTTCTAGTCAGCACAGGCTTATGTCACCTGACAGACTTGTAATTTTGATAGATACTTCCTGAAATTTTTCCTTTAAGAATTAAATTGTTTGATTTAGTGTGCTTCTGATAAATAACATTTTCCCTACAATAGAAAGGAATACAAAATCTGGAAGTATAAACATCCTATCAAATGTTTATAATTTTTCCATCTTAAATTCTAAAGACCATTATCATCACTTCATGAAATAATTCAACAGATAGTGATTATATAACAGTATTAAGTTCATAAATAATTCAAACTTCTCCAAAACTACTCCTTAGGATATTTTATGTGATGGACCATTATACTTTTAGTCTAATTGATGAAATCACATGTTTATCAAAGTACACACAATGTTCATATCAACTGATGGTACTAGTTATAGAAACGACTGAGCACACACAGATTACATATCAACTGATGATAACATTATAAAAATAAAATAATTTACTAGTAATTATTAACTAGTTTTTATGCTTAAAATTTGGGTTTTAGTTTGTTATCACAGTTCTAATTTGATTTTTTTTATAACCTATACTTTCTCAATTATTTTCTTTTAGTGTGTTAAGATATAGAAAGTTTATCATATCTGTTGTATTTCTCAACGAGTCTATGAACTGTGAATTTCTGTAAAGGGAACTTGGGGACATCTGGGTCATCTAATGACTTCATGAGCAGAAAGTTAAAAAGTTCCTTTTCCTGTGTGAATCTGACCAGGAACACATGAACTGGATTCACTCATCTGACAAGCACACTGGCTTTCCTGAAGGAAGCAGAGAAAGAACTTCCCCCAGGTGGCAGTAGCAGCCTGTTCCCTAAGAAGTGATTTTTGCATCAGAATTTATTGTAATTGTGTTCCTCACTTGGTAAACCAACTTTCTTTAAGAATCTACATGAGCACATATTAATTGTATCAGGGTTTTTGGTGGGGTTTTTGGAAAAAGGGCAAAGCCAAGACTTCCTTTGAATGTTTCTTACAAATACAACAAGCACAAATATTCTTAAATGTTTAAACTCCCTCCTTTGAAGTCAGAGTTGAAGTCTTGTGGTGAATGCAATAACTGATTGCTTAAAAACTTAAGCTCAGAATTCATAAACGTAGCTGTAAACTCCAAAATTTTAAACAATTTCTCATGGAACCAATAGAACTTTTAGATTTGAATCAACCTCAGAAGAGAAAAAATTTACAGTAAATGACAATGAAAACTTTGTGCATGTTTTTGAGTCAGATGAAAGAAAAATTTGAGTAATTATCTTTTCACTGATTTGGTTAGTTTTTAACCTATCTTTTAGTAGTTGTCTCAATTCAACATATCAGTACAATGTTTCTTAGTCAATGTTACTACTTCTATCATTTCCCCCCATCTACCCCAGCCTACAGATCTCAAGTGATCTTACCCTATTTTCCTGTATATACATTGACTATTATGATTATATTCCAAAAGTTTTATTTTGAAAATCTTTTGACCTGTAGTAGTTTGACCAAAATATTATTACTGTTTTAAATGAGCCTCAATTTTTGTTGGTTGCAAAATTTGAACCCCTTGTTGTAATGATATGTCTTTCTGTAATAGTAAAGATCCATAAAATATTGACCAAATTTTTTATTTATAATAACATGGATTTAACTTTGGCCAACACTAAACCAAGTTGAGATTCCTCTCAGCTGACAAACTGGCTCAGGTTGGTGGTAACCTGACTTGATTAGAGCTAGTTTTAGAGCAAGGCATCAAATCTTACCTTTCAACATTTAGTTTTTGCTCATCATTTCAGCAGTAATTGAAAGGTTCTTGGAGTAATGAAGAATGGCTATTTCTGGATAGGAATATTTAATGGAATAATTGTGTTTTTTTGTGGTACTAGTATTTGGGCTTGAACTTAGGGCCTGGGCCCTGTCTCTTAGTTTTATGGATCAAGGCTGGTGCTCTACCACTTGAGTCACAACTCCTACTTCTGTGTTTTTTTGTGTCTTTTTTCTGCTTAATTAGAGATAAGAGTCCCATGAACTCCCCTGCCTGGGCTGGCTTTGAACTGTGATAATCAGATCTCAGCCTACTGAGTAGCTTGGATTACAAACATGAGCCACTGTGGCTGGGAATAGAAGTCTTTAGTCCAAATATGTATTTTTTTAAAATTTCAAGTACTATATTGTTCACATCTTTGTGAAAGAGCACTGTAATTATGTGTGTTTGTTGTGCTTGCTTGCTTTTCTTCTGGGTATTTTTTTACATTTTTAAAATTATCAATGTAATATATGACTTTGAAAACATTTACACAGAAAAAGGGGAGGGAAGAGAATTGCTTTAAGATCATTATTTGCCAAGGTCCATATAGGATATTAAGTTGATGGGAGACTGACAAAAATAGGGACATTTCTTGTGTCAAACTACCCATTTCTCCCTCACATCTCTTCCTCTATTTACTTCTTTTCTTTAAGAGATGTAAGCCTACTTCTACTGCAATTATAGAGATTACCAGTGGGAATGTTTAGTACGTAGCTGGGGGGGAGCGAAATTAATTGTCGGCAATTACTTATTTAGGTATACTATTAGATTAATATTACTTATAATACTATTGCTTATACTACTTAAAATATTTCTTATAGTATTCAATTTTCTAAGATTTATTCATTTAGCAACTTTATTGATGGTGAATTTTCTCTGTGGTATTCTCTTTTTATCTTATATTTGCCAGGTTTCAGAACAGCAATATGCTGTCTTCTTACACTGAATTAGGAAAAAATTCTTTTTTGGTATGAAGCTCTACAATAATTCAGGTACTTCTATATATATATATAGAGAGAGAGAGAGAGATAAACATATAGATATTGATATGTCCTTGGAAGATGTGAAATTTTTCATGAAGACAACTGGGAATGAACAACTAGTGATTCTTGAACAACTTTTAAAGTGTCTGCCATGGTAATATGACTTTTTGTGTTAATCTTGATGAGTAATGCTATGTTACACACATTATC